TGCAATATTGATATTTCCAAGTCACCAAAATTGGTTTCCTTCATCCAGTCAAGATACACCCATGAAAATTGCTGATTTATTTCTTCTTGAAAGAACTGTAGGTTTGTGACCACAGTTCATGCAAAGCAAGGAAAGTGATCGCTAATTTCATCTCCTCTCAGTGGCGGCTATTGTGCTAATGACACAGAAAATAAATGTTCAACTAAGTGACAAATGTTAGTGCTTATAGAAATTGAATTTCACAGGCAATAGGATACTAAGTAAAAAATGGAAATTGTGGATGTGAGTTTTCATTGCTTGACATTGTAATTTGTTATGCTTTCTTTGTCTTTTCATATGGCCTTGAGGTTTTGGAAAACAGAGAATGCAACAGCCATTAACCACAGAATATGATTCATAATGAATATCACTGTAGCTTGAGTACATTCATTTGATGGTTCATCTCTAATCTAAAAATACTATAATGGTGTATGAAAAAAGTATCAGTCTGTTTGTATCTTAATACTTTTCTTTATAGTCTCTACATTACTCTATATTCTATCCCTAATTTCAGATATTGAAAGTTTTTTTAAGTGGATATTGTTCTACTTTTTTTCAAACTCACTATTTTCTCAATATTATCATAACACCAGAATTCTTATTAATATAAATGCAAAATTATGTATTCAAAAGCTAAAGGACTAAGATGAAATCGTTCATCTCTCCCCATCTGGAGCAAAGAAGAGTGAAGAAGATCAAAGATTCAAAGAAACAATTAATACAAAGGACTAATGGACCACATGAATCACAGGCTTCACTACCCTGAAACCAGAAGAATTACATGGTGCCCAGCTACCACTACTGATGCTCAGTCAGGATCACAATAGAAAGTCCTGGACAAGTAGGAGAAAAATGTGAAACAAAACTCAAAATCATAAAACAGACCAGACTTACTAATCTGATGAAGACTGATGAAGCCCCCAACTCTATGGCCCTCACACATCCTTTAAATCTGGAGCTATACACACCCCCAGGGATCATACATCAGCCAAAAATAGGCCTATAAAGTGAACAATAACACCTGTGAGGAATGTACCCCTCAGAACAATCAGTCATTCAAGACCAAAAAGGCAAAATTTACCCCATAACAAAGCCCAGAAGGCAGGACAGGACAGAAAAGAAGGACAAATGGATATTTGGAAACCAGGGAGAAAGTGAGACGTCTGCTGTTACATTAAGGAGATTTGACTATATGAAGTAACACTGGATGAACACCAAGCCATACAATAAGTTTGATATGTTATATAACCTACCATTTGGGTTTTGGCTTTGCTATTTCAGATGTCATCATCTCAACCATCCCTGAGAAGAGATTATGCTTTCTTTGAACTAATCTTTGGTGATTATGAGTGATTTGGTGATTATGAGTCGGGGCCAACTCGATGGCACACAACAACAACAACAACAACAATCTTTGGTGATGGGCCTGAGATCTAGCTGTTGGCTAATACCAAGAAATAACCTCAGTATCATTGTTAACATTCATTTTGTAAAATGTGTTACAAATATTGAGGAACTTTGTGTCTGACACTTACCAAACTAATCTTATTAGCCTTAAGTTCCAGCTGTATATCCTGTTAGTTAGATAGAGTGTATGGTCTCATGTCCTACCAGTATTCACAATCCATTCAAACTCATACTCTGCCATCGAGTTGTTTCTGACTCATAGTGACCTCCATTGGGTTTCCAAGGCTGTAAATCTTTATGGAAGTAGATAACCCTGTTGTCCTTCTGCGGAGCAGCTGGTGGGTTTGAACTGCTGACCTTCTGATTGGCAGTCAAGTTCCTTATCCACTATGCCACTAGAGCTCCTTCTTACACAATCCATTAATACTGTATGATATGTAATTATTTCTTGAAGACATTAAATATAGAAATAAATCTTGAAGCCATTCTCAGAAAACCAGGAGTTTCTTCTAAATTAACAGATCAGAGCTGGACAATGAATAACAAAGACGGCAGAAGAACTGATGCATTTGAATTGTGCCATTGGTGAAGAATATTGACTGTACCATGGACTGCTAGAAGAATGAACAAATCTGCCTTGGAGACAGTACAGCCAGAATCCTCCTTAGAAGTGCGAATGGCCAGACTTCATCTCACATACTTTGGTCATGTTGTCAGAAGGGACTAGTCCCTGGAGAAGGATATCATCCTTGGTAAAGTAGAGGGTCAGCAAAAAAAAAAGGGGGGGGGGTGGGAAGATCCTCAATGAGATGGATTGACACAGCGGCTGCAACAGTGAGCTCAAGCATAAGAAGGATTCACCATCCATAACTTGTGCTTTATTTTCCCAGCCAGGATTATGCTTGAGCAATGATAAGATTTAATAAAGAAAACTCTAGATTACAATGAATAAAAGAATGGCTCTGGAATCTGAGATACATGCATTTGAATATCATCTCTATCATGTACCTTCTAAATGGCATTAGGCAAGACAGAAATATCAAAGCTTCTCTTTTCTCATTCTTAAAATTGGGATAGTCATGTACTTCACGAGTTGTTGTAATGATGAAATGAAATTATGTACGCTAAGGCAATCTACTTCTGTAGTGATATCGCCTCAGAAACCCAAGGAGGGGTCACTATGAGTTGGATCCACTTGACTGACCACAGTGAGTTTGGTTCGGGAGCTCTGGTAGCGTAGTGCCTAAGGCACTTGACTGCTAACCAGAAGGCTGGCGGTTCAAACCCACCAGCCACTCCTCAGAAGGAAGATGGGGCAATCTACTTCCGTAGTGATGTTGTTGTTGTTGTTGTTGTTAAGTGCCGTTGAGTCGTTTCCGACTCATAGCGACCCCATGCACAGCAGAACGAAACACTGCCCGATCCCGTGCCAGCCCCACAATCCCTGCTATACTTGAGCTCATCATTGCAGCCACCGTATCAATCCATCTCGTTGAAGGCCTCCCCCTCTTTCGTCGACCCTCCACCCTACCAAGCATGACATCCTTCTCCAGTGAATGGTCCCTCCTTACAACATGACCAAAATAGGTGAGACAAAGTCTGGCCGTTCTTGCTTCCAAGGAGCATTCTGGCTGCACTTCCTCCAGGACAGATCTGTTAGTTCTTTTAGCAGTCCATGGTACTTTCAGCATTCTTCGCCAGCACCGCAACTCAAAAGCATCAACTCTTCCGTTCCGTAGTGATACTGCCTCGGAAACCCAAGGAGGGGTTGCTATGAGTCGGGTCTGACTCGAGGGCACATAACAACAACAACAACAAAGCCCTTCACACCATGCCTTGCAAATGGAAATAGATCAGACAATGGTGGTTTACTGAAGTTAGTGACCAATGTTTGCTCTTGTTTTGCAACTATGGATGAAGAGAATTCCAGCATAATAATCTAAAGCATGATTTTCCCTTTTCTAAAGATTTCCTAATTTCATTTTAATAGAATCCATCCTCTCAGAAGTCATCTTTATGGATAGAAAATAGCTAGTAATGCCTTCTCAGTGATTTACCACCTCAGAAACCCAATGAGGGTCTCTATGAATTGGAATAGAGTTGATGGCAGTGGGTTTGGGTTTTCTTTTTTATTTTATTATTTATCTATTTATTGGTTATCTATAATATGGAGCTCTTGTAGTGTGATGGTTAAAGCATTTGGCTGCTAGCCAAGAGGCCAGCAGTTCAAACCCACTAGCCTCTCCATGGCAGAAAGATGAGGCAGCTTCCATAAAATTTACAGCCTTGGAAACCCTATGGGATAGTTCTACTCTGGCCTAGAGAATCACTATGAGTCTGAATTGACTCAACGACAGTGGGTTGAGTTGGGTTGGGTTTATCTATAATATGGTTCTCCTACCACACATAAACATATTATACACAATTGATTTGTCCATATAGAAGTAAAAGGTATCAAATATCTAATTTGGTAGAATGGAGCAAAAAGAACAAAGTAATCTTTCACATTATGTGATAAATACCCTTACAGTTATAAAAATGTATGATGTGCAAGTTCTCTGGAATTCCTTTAAAGAAAACAATTTACATGAATATGGCATTGGGAACAAAAAAAAAAAAGATTTTGAATCAACTGTATCTAGAACAAACAATGTTAAATTCTGAAAATGTGATCTATGTCACGATTGCCAGGTGAAGTGCCTTTGTAGCTATCCCACGGTTCCTATGCTTAAGTTATTTAAAACAATGTCATTTTGAAGACCACAAAGTTTTGGTGAACAAAAGAATCAGTGTCACACTTGGCTATGTATAAGAGGACTCTCTTAAACTGAAAGGATAAAGAAGAGGAAATTTTCCTACCCTAAAATATTTCCATCGAGACTTAATGCTAGCAACTACACACACACACACAGATGCAAATGACAGGTACCCAAGGCAATTGAAACCTTTCAAATTCTTCCAAATAAGACAGAAGAGCTCAATAAATCAAAGCGGAGGAGAGTAGTAACAGATCTAAGAAGCAATTAAGCAGAACAGACATTATGACCCCAAACAACAATACTATCTCTCTGAAGCAGTGGAAGGCAATAGAGAAAATGAGCTTGAAAGTTTAAAAATTGGGGGATTAAAGGAAAAGACATGAAACCACCTCCAAAGGCACCAGTTGAAACGCACTGCAAATATCATCTAAAAAAAAATCATATCATTAGTTATAAAGAAACCAATTTTTTAAAAAAATGCGGTTGACCCCACCTAGCCCTTCCCCATCAGCAACAGTTAAAATTTACAGATTATAAGAAGGTAATAATTTAAGCATTTTTTTAAACTCAAACAAAATACAAAGTTAAATATTAGGGTTACTTTGAATAAGTAAACATAATAAGAAATTGAGGACATCAATTTTGTCAGAGCAGAACTCTGCTCCACAGGGATGATTGTGGGGAACTGGATTACCAGAGCTTTCTTCCAAGGCACCAGAGGTGGACTCGAACTGCTAATCTTTTGGTTAGCAGACAAGCGAGTTTGCACCATTCAGCGACTTTATGTGATTCACATTAAAGGCATGCAATGCATCCCGGAGTTATTTTACTTACGTTCTGGAAAATCTCCTCTTGGTCTTCATTGTTTCCAGAATCTGAAGTGGGTGGAAGGCTGGGAGTGAAGGCCATGAGGTCGGCCTTGGGCGGCCCCTCCCCAGAGCACACCCTCTGCCGCCTCTGCTGAGAGTAAGACCAGCTCCCCACCGCGCTGGCGCACACCAGCGTGGGCTTCCCCGGCCCGCACGCGCCCTCTGTCGGCGGCGCCGAGCACCGCAGCGCCGTGTACAGCAGGAGCGTGAGCACCAGCAGGCTGGACACCGCGCAGATAGCAATGATCAGGTACACGTTGACGTCCACCAGCGCCGCCTCGGGTCCTGAGGAGCCTGTGGACGCCCGCGACAACGTCTTCAATGCCTGGCCGCTCTCTACCAGAGAAACCAACACAGTGGCTGTGGCCACCAGCGGTGGTTCGCCATGATCCTTCACCAGCACCAGTAAGCGCTGGCGCGGAGAGTCCGCCTCGTCCAAGGCGCGCGTCGTGCTCACCTCGCCTGTGTACAGACCCACGCGGAACGGACTGCCCGCGCCGCCTGCCGCCGGCTGCAGCTCATAAGACAGCCACGCGTTGTAGCCAGAGTCTGCGTCCACCGCGCGCACCTTCGCCACCACTTGTCCTGCGCCCACAGACCTGGACACTAGCTCGCTCACCTGACCACCTGCGCCTCCCGACCTAGGCTGCAGCAGCGCAGGCGCGTTGTCGTTCTCGTCCAGCACGAACACCTGTAGCGTCACGTTGCTGCCCAGAGGAGGGACGCCCGCGTCGCGCGCGCTCACCTGGAACTGCAGCAGCTCCAGCTCCTCGTGGTCCAGCGGCTGCAGCGCGTACACCTTGCCGCTCTCGGCGTGCACCGACACGTAGCTCGACAGCGCGCGCTCGCCCCCCCGCCGCTCCACCAGTGAGTAGGACACCAGCGCGTTCTCCTGCGCGTCCGCGTCGTGCGCAGACACCGTGAAGATGTGGCTGCCGGGCGGGTTGTTCTCCTTCACGAACACCGTGTACTCGGGCTGCGCGAACGCGGGCGCGTTGTCGTTCACGTCGGCCACCTCCACGGACACGCTGGCTGTGGACGACAAGGAAGGTGATCCCCCGTCCCGGGCTGTCACCACTAGTGCATAGGCTGACACTCTCTCGCGATCCAAAGCTTCTTCCAATACCAGCGAATAATAGTTCTTGAAGGTGGACACCAACTTGAAGGGGATGTGGGCTGTTAGGAAGCAGGTCACCTGCCCATTGGAGCCGGAGTCGCGGTCAGACACCGTGATGAGAGCGATGACAGTACCCAGGGGTGTGTCCTCTCGAACAGGCAAGGAAAGTGACGTCACCACCAACTCGGGAACATTATCATTGACGTCTAAAACTTCTATCAAGACTGTGCAGTGCCCAAACATTGGGGGGTTTCCTTTGTCAACTGCTTCTATTTGAATCTTACATAACTTAGTTTCTTCAAAATCTAATTTTCCACTTACTTTTATTTCTCCGCTGGCTGAATCTATGTGAAAACAGGCTTCTATAATAGGGGAGACATCAGTTGCAAAGGAATAAAGAACGTGGCTGTTTGAGCCCTCGTCCAAATCTGAGGCGTTTAGTTTAATAACCAATGTGCCGTTCCTTGCGTTTTCCAGTAATTTTACACGATAGACCCCTTTGTCAAACACTGGGGCGTTGTCATTTGTATCCAGCACGGTAATTAGTAACTCTACGGTTCCTGTCAGCTCAGGTTTACCCCTATCAGTTGCTGTGAGCACCAAAAGAAGCTCTGAAGCCATTTCCCTGTCTAAAGATTTTTTTAATACTAGACCGAGGGGTTTTACCTGCTCTTCATTGGTTGGTACGTCCAGCAAGAAATGCTCATTGGGGCTCAGTCTGTAAGTCAGCAGCGCATTCTCCCCAACGTCTGCATCAGAGGCGCCCTCTAGTGAAAAACGAGAGTCAAGAGCCCTAGCTTCGGAAATAAACAGATTCCTTTGTGTCGCTGGGAACACCGGCGCGTTGTCGTTAATGTCCTTCACCTCCACCTCCACGTGGAAAACCTGCAGCGGCTTCTCCACGATCACCTCCAGGTGGACGCCGCACACTGCGCTCCGCCCGCACAGCTCCTCGCGGTCCAGCCGGGAATTCACGAACAGGATGCCGTTCTGCAGATTCACCTCCAGAAGGTCCCCGCGGCCTTTGGACGCCACCCGGAACAGGCGCGGCACCAGCTCGGCCAGCTCCAGCCCCAGGTCCTGCGCGATGCGGCCCACGAAGGTGCCGTGCTTGGCCTCCTCAGGGACCGAGTAGTGGACCTGGCCGCTCCCAGTCTCCCAGGCTGCCAGGAGCAGAAGCCAGAGCAGCAGATGCCGGGGTTCCTGCCCACTTGGTCCGAAAGCTAATGCCATGCCTTTCTCCTGGATATTAAACAAGTATTTCTCGAGTAGAAAGGTGTAGTAGTTCTCTTGCGACCTTTTCTTTGATTCCTTGCTCCTGAGATCCAGCTGATCTTAGCACTACGGGTGTGTTTGCAGACTTTAAAGCGCCGGCACGGCGGAGCTTCTTTCTGGTCCCAAGATAATCGTGATTTTCTTTCTTTGAAGAACCTCTCCTTGGAAAACAACGACATCCTGTGGTTCAACATGTAAGTGCATTTGAGTTTTCTCACACAATTTCTTTACTTTTCATTCCTTCTTTCTTAATTCCTTCATGTTTGCCTGTGTTTTCATTGTTGTTGGTTTTTAAACTCTTCCATCATATCTGTCGTGGGTGACCACTACCTCCTTGAAGGTGGTTTTTGTACAAATTAGAATTTTCAAGAGCTTTATCTTGATTGTAGATACCTAGCAGAATATGCCACTGCACCAACAATATTATCACGTATATAAAGATGAATATATATATATGTAAGATATTAAGTTTTTTAAAAGATATTTAGAAACTGTCATTTTGGAATGATCTCTTCAAGTTTATTCTGTTCCTACAACTCCATAATTTTCTGTTGCTTAATCTCTATATTATGTTAAAGTCTTCTAACTATTTGGTCTGCTTGCATACATGATAACTCAACACAGAAAATTTCTAGTTACCACCGCAAGATACCAGGATTTCAAATCAAAACTGACATATAAGCTCTGTATCAATTTATCCAAATATTTCTGTGCTTTGCAGTTAATGAGTTTTCTCTTCAACCCCTTGGAACAGATTTTGGCTCATTTTAAGCTCCCCCCCAATCACTGTATCTGGTTAGAAAGAATGTTTTCATGTCCTTCCTGTCGGAAAACTTACATTTGAATTCTGCACACTGCTTATTTGATGAAGATAACATCTTTCTCACCCAAAAGAACCACACTGAATCAGAAATTCAACTTATATTTTTCTGCTTACTTGTATCCATTCTATTTCAGCAATGGTTTAAGGAGACTATAAGTTATTATAAACCCCATTCATTCACTCAATTTTATTTTCCCATTTTTACCTCAAATTTAAAATTGAAATTTTCATAATAATTTTTATCAATTGCAATAAAGTATATCAGTACTGTATTAAATAAAAAAGCTGTAATCATTCTCAAGACTATAAGGAACAACAACAAAAATAAGACCACTATAAAATATGTGAAATCCTTTTGATAAGATGGCAGCCACTGAGAAAATTCAAATTTTAGCTACTAAAAAAAAATGTAAATAGATACAACAAGGGAATTTTAGGTTTTATGCAAAAGTGAGCTTCAATTCTTCATTTTGAACACTTTTAAAAACAGCAATTCAATGATTCAATGACAATAACTCTAAGCCACAGATTTATAGTTCTAATCACTACTAATTCTTTTTCTTAATTGAAGGAGGCAAATGTTAGATCAACACATTTGCATAAAGAAAAAGGCAAGACAAAATTTTAGTGTATTACTAAATTTAAAAAGGCAGATAACTGAAAAGCCTCCCCATGTTTGCTGTATGGAATAACCCAATCCCTTTGGAAATCACTCCAAGCTTGAGTTCCTTTCCATTTTTTACTAAAAGGATTGCTTTATGAGGTTAAGTACAAATAAAGATAATTTAAATCCCCTGAATTCCAAGACTTTCGTAAATCAATAATTAAAGTACACATAGAAAGAAAGCTATGGATTGGTTAGTCATCTTGAAATAAATTATCACAAATACTACAGCAACAAGAACTAAATACCACTCAGCCCCATTTTAATGCCATCTAATAATAAACATGTTAAACGTGATGATTAAAATGGTATGTCTTAATATAGTTTGAAAACAAATGGACTACTTCCTTTATTGGAAAGAATGTGAGAAGAATGTGGAAATGAGCCCTATGTTTGAGCGAATTCCTGGTTTCATGTCTCTGAATTGAATGGAAGAAACTCCCTACAAGGTTTTGTTTTGTTTTAAATATTTATCTCAATAACAGAGCCAGGGCAATCTACTTCCATAAAGATTCACCACCTCAAAAACTTTATGGGGGTCTGTATGATTCAGAATCAACTCAAAAGCAATGGGTTTGGTTTGGATTTTGGACTAGAGCCAGCAGTAGACATCCTCAGAATGAAATCAGTAAATTTTGTCTTTGTCATCTGTCAACTTCTCATTCTGAACTCTCTACTCATTTCCTCCCTCTTCTGCACTTCCTCCTTCATATATGTTAGGATTATCATGCTGCTAGACAAATTACTAACTTATTATGTTAATATTTTATGGATATTTTAAAAAGAAAATATCCAAGGGAAGGCAATGCAAAATAAATAAGACCAAATTAGTAAATGCATAGTACTATGTTTCATTAATAATCCATATGAAAAGATGTCTTTGGATAAGACTGTTCTGCAGAAGTTGTGCACTGATATTATATAGGGCCAAGAGAGTGGGCAGATGTGAGAAGAAGGAAGTCAATAGACAAGTTGAAATGAAGCTAAGTATGTTGATAAGCCTGAAGATTTATGATTGCAGAAGCTGAGAGGATACAAAAGTACAAGAGTAAATAAAAGATGCAATTTTCAGTTTTGTAATTGGAAATCACAATATATACTTTAAAGAAAGAGAAAAGATTGAGCTATATATTGATATTAAATATACTTTTAACTGTATCTTCATTTGGACTTTTTTGCTCTGAGTTCAATCAGAGACTATCTTGGAAAAAAAGTAGTAACATTAGAAAAAAAAACTGCTCAATGAAAACCAAAAAAATCACAGAACTGAAAGAATACACAGTAACTCAATACCTTTATATTTGTATTAGAAAGAACAAAGAATTATAAAAGCAACCATATCCATAATTGTATATACAACAATGAGCACTATGTCTTTGGAAGTGGGAGGGCCTAACAGGAGAATCTTCACATTGGAGCCAATGAACTTGCAGTGTACTCACTGTACTATTGCAAACAAACTGTAAGCACTGAATTTTGGAGATTTATTATGCCATGTAATCTAAGTTGCACAATATAGATTCAATAGTTTGGAGACCACATAGCCCCTTTTTGCCAAGAAGAGATATCAAGAAGTTCAGCATTTTCATTAATTAATGTAATAACAGTCATTTAAAAATTTATATTTGAAAATTAAATAAACTTATGAATGGATATTCCATGGTATAGTGTATCTTTAAATATATCTTACAAATATTTGTAAATAAGAACATGGTTATAGAAATAAATCATTGAAAACTGCAACCTAAATATTTGTATTGGAAAACAAATAGATTGAGGGGATGGGAAATGGCATACTTTTAAACCTGATTAAAAAAAAAAAAAAAAACACCTCACTACCACCGAGTTGATTTGACTCATAGCGACCCTTGTGTTTCCAAGGTGAGGAGACAAAACATAAACTTATAGAATTAACTACAAGTATTCCTGGATTTATGACATATTGGAGTTACATCAAACTGCACTACCATCAGTATATCTGAAAGATTGCATTTCCCAGGAAGGAAGTTCTGAGAAAATGCACGCAGGAGATATGGGGGGTGGGGGGATTACTGAGTTATGTGAATACACTCCAAGCATTTGATCAGGATAATATGATAGAAGCTATCAGCAAGAACGTAGGATTTAGAACTTGATATCCATGTTGTGAAACAGCTCATAGATCAAGAAGAGGGGGAATCTGACAGATCAAGACTTAATGAATGTTGAAGAGGAAAGAAATGCTGAAGAAGGAAGAAATAATGAGGAAGAGAAATGAGAGAAGTTGTCAAAATAACTTAGAGTTAAAGGATTAGCTGGAGTCTAAACTAAATCAGGGGCTTCAGGTGCTTGAAAACATGAATCCAAATATTGATTGCTTTGCTCAAGTTGACAGGCAAATTTAGGAAGCAGTGTCACGTTGCTGTAAAATATATGAAGGAAAAAAAGAAGAGAACCATACAGACAGCTCTTACTAATTTTCTTTTAGAAACTCCACCCTCATTCCCAGGCATAATCCAGATGATACAGAACCTTCCACAAGTCGAGTTACTACTGCAACTGAAAAAATGCCAAAGTCACCAAGTGTTCTTCATTGTTGGAGTAAATTTTTATGGCGTGTATTTGGTATGAATGTATGCATTAAAATGTATATGTAATCTTTGCAACCCTCAGAGATAAATTAAGATCAATAATAAAAAGCAATAGTAATGAAAATGAGAAAGAGAGAGAAAGAATGGACTAATATCGGAACCAACTTAGGTAGAGGCATTGGGAGGAACCGCAGATGAGCATTAGAGACCACATGTATATTACAAGTGCTATGTGAGAAATATGTGAGAATAAACAGCATGCAGCATGAAAACAAACAAACAAAAAAAAACATTCCTAGAATTACATTTGAAAAAAAAAAAAGGCAATACGAGTAAACATTCACAAACAAAATATGAAAATATAAATATAATAATCTACCTTCCAGCAGTGGTCTCCTGCAATAGCTTGTTCTTCCACTTCCACATCAGGCACTGGACATGGTGGGAGGCTGGGGCTGAAGGCCATGAGGTCGGCCTTGGGCGGCCCCTCCCCAGAGCACACCCTCTGCCTCCTCTGCTGAGAGTAAGACCAGCTCCCCACCGCGCTGGCGCACACCAGCATGGGCTTCCCCGGCCCGCACGCGCCCTCTGTCGGCGGCGCCGAGCACCGCAGCGCCGTGTACAGCACCAGCGTGAGCACCAGCAGGCTGGACACCGCGCAGATGGCGATGATCAGATACATGTTGACGTCCACCAGCGCCGCTTCCGAGCCCCTGACGCCCAGTGACGCCTGAGACAACGCCTTCAGCGCCTGTCCACTCTCCACCAGAGATACCAGCACAGTGGCTGTGGATGCCAGTGGTGGCTCGCCATGGTCCCTCACCAGCACCAGAAGACGCTGGCGCGGAGTGTCTGCCTCGTCCAAAGCGCGCGTTGTGCTCACTTCTCCCGTGTACAGACC